AAATTCATTTAGCGACGAAATAAAGAATTTATGACAAAATTAATCATCCACCTAAGCCAAATAAGAGACAAAAAAACCTTCTTTAGGGATGAAAAATTTTGTCAATAATTTCATAATATTTTTTTCCACATTATATACCTATTTTATCAAAATCTAAATTTTAGTTCAACAAATATGATCCTGTTCATGTTGAAACCTGTTGAATATAACAATTCCATCACAACTTAACCTAACCTGTTATCAACACATTTACGAATTAACAAAATGAAAATATGCATTCATCATTACAAATAATTTCATCCTGATATAATAAAATAGTGAAATATCCACAAAATATCCAAAAGTTATAACTTGTTCAATTCCACCAAAAATCCAACAATAACTAGTGTAACTGTATGTGTATCCTTATCAAACAAAAATGAACATTCAAGCAAATTATATCATTGTTGCACGTCAAAAATGCCACCCCAATCCAATCTGCAAAAAAATAAATTAAAATTTTTAGTAATTAATCAATTATACAAAAGATTAAAAACATTAGTAACTCATCAATTTACAATTAGATCAATTATACAATTTATCCCTGTAACAGACTTTTTTTTAGATTATGAGAACAAAAAATTAATTTTAAGGTTAATTCACAAATGGTGCATCCCATTAATGTGCCGTAAGTTCATACAACTTATATTGGTCCCTCCTAAGGTGTTTCTATTGCTTCCTGTACAAATCTGTAGTTGTGTGATAATTTAGCATTTCGATGGCCTTTTTTTAAGCTTTAAGTATAGAGAAAAATATATATTTTTTAGACTAATTCACAATTTATACATCATGTGCACTTGTACAAATTGGATGTCATATGCATGTTTCCATTACTTCCTAATTCTTCAAACATTTATTCTTTTATAAAATTTGTTATATTAAAGTTAATATACTTTACCAAGAAGTATGTCCACTTGTGGATGCGTCCCCTCCACTTCCAAAGTGTCCAGTGAATCCTTTGGTCCTCAAAAAGTTGACAACATCAGCCATTATCTCCCCTTGCTTCTTCTTACCCTCTTCAAGATCTTCTATTTTATTGTTCTGCATTTGTATTTGTTCCTTCCGTGTCTTTATTTGCATCTCAAGGCGCTTCACGTAATCATTTGTTTCAGCATATATGGTAGTGGTCCTCCTAATAGAGGATGAAGGTCTCATGCCAAGTCCCTTCACATAGCCAGACCTTGGCTTTAGGACTTTGATTGATAGCTCTTCTGCAGTCAAAGGGGTTGATCCTGGCTGTGAGAGGTGATCAGCCTGTGTCTGTATCATATTTTCCTATCAAATATAAAAAAAATTAAATAATTATTAGAAAATTAAATAAGATTATAACAAATAGTATTCTAAAATTTTGTTAATAAAAATTGCAATATATACTCACATAATTACACTGAGCTTGAGATGAGATCCACTCATGTGTTTTCTCATTATAGTGAGTTTCCTTGTACAACTCTGCTAGATCAGGTAGCATCTTCCTTTCTCGTGCCTAATTCGATAGGCCAAATATTCAATAAATAAAGCTAAGAATCTAATATAATTCTGAAAGTGCAAGGATGCGTACCAGTTTTTCTACTCTAACAGGGATTGACCTAGAACCACATCTATGTTTTGTATACATCCTTTTTCTGTTCGCGATGTTGGCCTTTGATTGTTCCTATAGGGAAGAATGACCAATATAACAATGAAATGTATCATTAGTAAGACAAATATGTTGGCTTTTGATTGTTCTTGTAAGGAATAATGAACCAATATAACAATGAAACGTATCACTAGTAAAACAAATTTAATTCTTGATAATAAAGAAATTGCATTGTTCATCTCTATCATTTTCCTATATATCATTTCAACTTAAAAGATATTTCAAATTATTCACTAGTTTCATTTAATTCTTTGAAAAATAGATTAGAGTACTTGTTGAGATTTCATCATAAGATGGTTTTTCTGGGTGAAAAAAGAAAATATGAAAATGTTACCATAAATTTTTTAGTGTTCCACTTTTTATCAATAAGATCTATCCACTTGGTAAGATCAACATTCTTTGGTGGGTGGTTTCTTGCATACTCCTCCCCTTTAGCCTCCTTCAGCTCCATGAATTGTTTATGCAGCCTATAGGTATGGTTACTCAATCTCTGACCAAATTTTATATTCATTGCCTTCTCTATAGCAACAGGGTCTCCTTGTAAATCAAATTGATCCTGCAAAAAATAGATAAGTCATAGATAATTCTTATAAAAAATAAAATAATTACAATAAAAATGAGTAAAATGTCCTATAATAGAGTAGACAACGAACTTACATTCAAGCGTTGAAACATCGCCTCCTTAACGGAGGCATCAACATACTTCCACCTACGAACACTTGGATCTGGTAAACGAGTTCGCACTTCTACACCAATCTTTGAGGCTAGTTTTGAGGCATAATCCCCTACCGGTGCACAAAATTCTGGATGGATAGGCACACTAAGCTTTCCATCTTTATCAACAAGGCCTTGAACCTCTTTGCCTCGAGTCGGGCCACGAACACGCTTAGCAACTGATATTGTGAAGCCATAATATTGAAATAGCATGTGAACAAATTTAATTAAGATCTCAAATCAATGTAAATAAAGAGTATGTCTTACCAATAGTATTACCAGCAATCACCTCAAGTTGAGGCTCCACATTGAGAGGTGGTAGCGGATGGCTAGCCACCTCAGGACGTGAAGAGGTATCCCCCTCTTCTGATGCGTGGGTCAATGCCTCATGATGAGATTATGAACGAGCTATCGATGGTATCTCTAACAGCTGAATAACATAATAAAATATGAATATATGTAGAAAGATATACATGTTTATGTGTGTATGAATTGAAAGTAACAAGAAAGAATATATTTCACAATGCATAAATGTATAGTACCCCATGCTCAAACGAATCATAGGATTCAGTGTCATTGCCATCTTCAGC